GGAAAAATACAATTTATCGATCACTGGTCACTGAAAACAACCAACTTACTACGTGCATGAGTCATGACTAAGTAAAAAAAAATTAAATCCTTCAACAACAGGGTAAATCCGTCTCCCATTCAAATCCATTCAATAACCATACAAAAACAAGAATCATTCTCCATTTTTTCACACGAAACAATGCAGGCGATAACTGTAAATCAACACGGAAACGATACTTCAAACGCCGGCGTTTTTGGTTTAGCAGAGGAATTGGTCGGAGATATGTGTGCGTGAAGTGAGCGTGTGCGTGGCCGTGGACGCATGAAAGAAAAAAGACAGCGCGAGGAGCAGAGGACAATAAAGGAGCTAGGGAGGCCCCTTCCTTACCTAGTTTATACGGGGTTGGAGGAAAGGGCACACACATCAGACACATGGGTCGGTAGTCAGTAGTCGTGAATACAGTCAGGAGTCGAAAGTCGTCATTAGTGACTCGTGAATGCGACCGAGTTGCAGGCAGCTGGGAGTTAGGATAAGAGTGAATATTGTTACCGAGATACTGGAGACATGAATGCATCCAGGAGTCATAAGTTATAATATAAGTGTGACCGGTGGATGAGTCATGAGTATGATCGTGTTCAGTAGTCATTGTGAATGGACGGAGGGACATGGAAGTTGGGACTGGGGAGTAATGAATATGACCAGGTATCATGAGTCACGATTCGTGAATCGCGACTCGTGATTTATGGCTGTGGCCGGGACTCAGTCCTCGGAGTGACTGATGTGGCCGGGATTCAGAGCTCGGGAGCTCGGGGAGCCCTGAATGTGACTGACGCCGGGATCCCCGGACGACAGGCGGAGGGCACCCGGCCAACTGGGCCTAACGCGTAGACGGCAGATCTGAGTCGGCACGGCCCAAGGCCAACGCCATGGGGGCAGTGCGTGAGTGCGCCAACTCGCAACTTAGTAGTGGGACTGCCAAAACGCGACTGGTCGTGTGGCAACAGATGATCACTGGTGTGTCAAATATGTTCCAAATGCATAGCTCTTTCACAGAACCTTTCAAATGCATTAACCACAAAAGATTCAGCTTGATCTGGTCAAATGGCATTACCTCTTAGAATGGAAGATCTCTTTTTTCATAGATTCTTTTATGTGCCTTCAGGCTTGTTTCCTTGGCTCCACTCTGTTTATGAATGGGGCACTAATATTCCCCTCATATACTATGATGCTATTATGTTAAACAATGCATGAAACCAACACACCAGCAAATTTGCACAGTAGGTAGGTAATAGGTAGGTACTAGGTAGTAGGTAGTAGTTACCATGTAAGGATCCATTATTTCACACAGCATCTGCACCATCCAGGCACCCACATCAACAGCACTGGACACTGACACCAGTTGGGCAAACTGCAGGGAGGTAATCTAAATAAAGATTAATCAAAATTTAGATTATTTTATGCCCATATTTGGGCATTTGAGCAGCCCTTTGCAGAAACAGCTGTGTAGTGGCCCAGGAGTGACAGAATCACATCACTCTTTCACAAAGCAAAGTTGACATAACAAACTTCCTCTGAAACACCAAAACAGCTCTTAGAAAAATGTTGGGGTTCCTGAATTATGGTGGGAACATAATCTAAATTAAGATCAAAAAATCAGCCTCAATGGGGAAATAATCTATTGTTTGTTTGTTTATTGGGGCTTTATGTCGTCAGCTGACTAATCTGTATTTAGATTACACAATCAGCTGAATAATCTTAAATTAGATTACATTCAGCTGGCCTAATCTAAATTAAGATTATAATATTTAGCATCTGAGGGGATATAAACCCCAGTATTATGATACAACAATAAGAGACGCTGGAGTGCCACGTCGTGTGCAGGGAAATAGCCAGTCTAGCGCAGAAAAGAAAAATACAGCACATTACCAGGATTTCTGTAAGTATATTTAACTTATCTTAGAGAGTAAAACAACAGAAATTAGCAATAAATATTTGTTTTTTTAGGCTCAAAAGCCTTTTAAGGTATATAAGGCAGGGTGAATGTGGAATAACAACTTAATGTACAACCACCTGGCCTAATAATGATTTTGTCCCAGGTCGTTGCCAGCAGCACTTCCGTAATCACAGAGGTAACTCAGCTTTGGTCTCTCTTGGGACCTATCATGACCCTCAAAAATTATTGGAAGGGTAGGTACCTAGGTACCTTGTTTGATTCCCCAGCAGTGCCATATATTGCAGCCCTCTTGGGCACTGCCTTGGCCCCGGGCATGCAAATTTGAACAATTCATACGTACTGTTGAGTTTCGGGTTAAAATACCCATAAAACATTCAAAGCATTGCAACTATAAGTAAAAACTGCACCCCAAACTACACACATAGACTGACATTTCAAGAAAAATATTAACAATCTAAATACATGATTATATCTGGAAATATGACAGCATAATACAATGTTTACATTTTCAGGGAGGTGTCCGAGCAACTCATTTCTACTCACTCAGACAAAGGTATTTGATGAAATGGCACCAAAGATTCAGGATTTGTTTAATGATGTCTAAAGTTGTCAAAAATAACAAAAAATTGTCATGTCTTACAATATCTCGCAAAAAAACTAGGTTGAAATGACTGAGGGTAGAGCTGCGTCACTTTCGTATCAAACACACTCACCGGTTTTGTACGCTGATAGCGCGGCAACGCCACACTTCTACCTCACAAATTTAATTTTGTTGGGTGAATAGGATGTTACCATCATTTTGGTACCATTTAAGGACCATTCCATCGAAAAACACCGTCAGGAAAAAATTATTACCGAGGGGATACACCGCGCCACGGACATCGCTAGATCGCGGCCGTAAATCGCCGTAGCAAAATTGCAATAAATGCGTTGTATTTGGCAGATCTTTTCAGAGTGGGATTGAATAATTGAATATTTCTTATCTCAGATATGCCGAAAAAATATTCTGAACATTTAATGAGTACGATAAAACAGGAGTAAAAACAGATGAGTGCACTTGCCCATTCCTCGGTGACCTTGACTATTCATGTCCTAACTCCCAAAGTCCAATTTCAAATGTGCCGGTCCATTCGCAATCTGTAGAATCGAGTTTCGTCTGTACCTCAGCAAAAAATCTCACCGATATGAGCATTTCTTCGACCGATATGGAGGGTTTGAATGTGGACATGTCGGAAATATAATCTAAATATTGATTATCACTCCTTATATGGTCATCGCTCCGCCCATTTTCGTGACATCATAATCTGAAATTAGATTAAAGGGACCCTCCCACCTTAACATTAGATTTGAGTTGAGATAGCCAAAATGGGGTCCCTGGCTCACAATTACCGGTTTCGGCACTCACAACATCGAGAAATGCCTTAAATCGGAAATATTGAATTTCAAAATTGCAGCATTTTGACAGCAATGCTTAGGAATACCCCTCTGAATGTGTGACGTCAGCGCAAATATCTAACGATTTTGAAATGTTTGACTAAAACGGTTTGTAGCACGCGGTGATATATGCTATTTGCGCGCAACATCTGCCGCAAACGCCGCACTTCTAAAATAAAGTCGCTAGAAACAGCGGAGATCCCAAAAAAGTAAACAAAAGTAAAAGTCTAATATCTTGAAAACCGGTGAATATTTTTCGGTGAAATTTGGTAGATATTCGTTTTCGCTCTTCCTGAACCAAGCGACATCACTTTCATGCCAATTCATAAACTTTTTTGAAGGTGGGAGGGTCCCTTTAATCTTATTTTAGATTGCCTCCCTGCAGTTTGCCCGACTGACACTGGCTGAGTGCCTCTGCATGACAAGATCTTGCAAAAATTGCCCAAGATTGTTGTACTTTTAAGTCTGGTTTATCACTTATTCTGATACAGATATGATGTTTCATAATGGAAGGTAATGTCTCTCTTGAAAGTATCGCACATCAAGGTCAACTGAGGGCTGGCAAATACAAATCACTGAACCAGCTGACCTGGGGAATGGATGAGGATGTCAATTGGCTCGGTGCAAGCTCGGTGACTCAAATTTGGCAGCCCTTCCTCAATCAGGCTTGATTGATCTAGGGCACTAATGCCGGTTACTATCAAGAGACTACACATTGAATAAAAACACACCAGCATCACTGAATTGGAATAAGTGAATAAGTGATGTGGATGACAAATTTGAAGAAAAAAACTGAACTGTGGTGTGATGGGCCAGACTGCCACACAACAAACCAATGAAATAATTGACAGTTAAATCACCCAAATAATACTTAATTTTCATGTATTTCAATTACAAATAAAAAAAACAGGTACATATTAGTAGACTTTTCAGTAGACCTATATCAATAGACCCACCTGCAGAAGCAAACCAACTGATTGCAGATGATAACAATTAAATTGTATCAAGGCAAACCACACTGAAAAATGGATAAAATATATTTTGACAAGGCTTTGATGACATCACAAAACAAATGATTGATTGCCTTTTTCGTTTCTTAGGCCAGAAACAATTTAGCCAAATTTGGGCCAATATTTTCACAAAGCGTTGAAGGGTCAATTTTTAAGTACTTAGGACGCAAAAATTGTAAAACGAACTCATATTTGATTTCATGAACTAAATTCAATAAAATGTAAGGTTAGCAGTCTATGACATCATCGTAATGCATTTATTTTTATGTAGGATCAACATAAGGCAAACCTTGATATTTTCTAGCAGAAAATATTTGTGAAATGAAGGTTTATTTTACCCTGGAAAAGTTTCCCTAAAACAACAAGGAACAAATGCGAAGCTTTTAAGTTAAAAATATTATTTCCTGAAAGTTAAGAGTGAAGAAGACGAAGAATTGAAAAAATGAAAAAGAAAATTATAAATTGAGAGCGTTTTATCTTTTTTCACTATATTTTAGTTTGGCCATTTCTCTTTCTTACGAAAGTAATTTTGGGAGTTAGAGGATTTGGCAGTAGTGTTTCAAGATCTGACTGGCGCAGTAGCTTCAAAATAAATCCTCCATATTTTGTGTACACAAGTCGGTTATGCAAGCCCATGTCAATGTAACGGTTATATAAGTTTATATGGTTATTACTTATTAGTAAAAATCTGGGATAGATATTTTACATTTATCAATTGTCATTTGTCATATGAATGTTGATGCGTTCCGTCCTGACTTGACTCACGCTTCAGCAATAAGAACATCTAATTTTACGGGTCTTCGATGAAAAAAGCAGAGCTGCTTATGCTACAGCTAAGTAAAGAATACGGATGAAGAGTAACATGCGATTTAAGGCCTACTCGTACACTGATACTGAGCCAAAGCGGAAAGCCAGAACACTTCAATTTTCGAAATTTGGACATTTCCGTGACTTAAGTAGGTACCTTTCTATGGAAGGGTAGGATCATTTCCCTCTTTTTCGCTCTTTTAAAACTGAAGAAAAAAGAGGGATTTGAACAAGGGTAGGAATAGTCAAATATCCTTACATACGAAATTGGCAGTAATAGTATTGGTATATGAAAGCATTCCTCTTTGACGATGACAGAAAAGAGATGGAGCAGAACAAGGATGGACCATACCAGCTCTGGAGGCTGAGGAGAAAACTGGTGACAGAGGCGGATGATGAGGAAAGGGCTTAACCAACAACCTAAGCTTATCCTACTACATAATGCCCTCCCACCCAACCTGTGTTTATAGGGCTAGACCCGTGCAAAGGTGTCAGTGTGACCACGTCATCAGCATCAGCATCAGCATATCAATGTTTGACAGAAGTTGTAGGTATGTTTTGTAAATATTTAAGTCAGTATTCTTTTGAACTCTTTGCAAATTCATAGCTCTGTGATTCAGGCCCTCATTCAATCAGAGACAAATTATCAGACTTTTTGTGAATCAGAATCACTGTTCATTGGTGAAATATGAAACCATGCCATATGATTATTTAAATCAGTGTTAGCTGATCTAGAAATGTGAAAATTAATGCTGTCATGTCACTTGTCAGGCTTCTCCAAATTCTCTCTAAATCTTAAAAATGCTTTGAATATGAATTATGCTGTCTTATGCATGCAGTGCACCACACTAATGTCTCATAGTTTGTGTCACACAAACAGTATTTCAGTTGTCAAGCCATTGAACTTGAATTAGAATAACCTAACAAAAGCATTTATATCAGTCATGTAGTAACTAAGTGACTGAGCATTTCTGAAATCATTGACTAGGTATTATTCCCGGCCAGAACCCTATGTCTTACATAACTTTGCTACCTATATAAAGGAAAGCTGACAGAGGTGTCATCAGCCCAGGCTGTGATGTCAGAAATGAACTGTCACTTATGCAACATTTAAGCTCTCAAGGTGTTCTCGCCATCAGCTAATATGCCATGTTTGCCCTTGTTCTATAGGAGGGAAGAATAATGATGGCATGGAATAATTGTGGTATGATGTGTGCCAGTCTGAAAGGCATCCACTGGAGCACCAGAACTGGAAACTGCTTGAATATCCAGTTGCAGCATCTAAGAAACTACTGTGTCACATCTCTGCTCAGAAGGCATTCTGCTGCAACCAATGCTGCTGCAGCAGAAGCAATCACATTTGTACCGCGCCACCAGGACACCTCTACAACAGAGTTGGCGGAGTTTGAGCGTGTGCTGCGCCGCTTTCCGCGCCTAGCAGTGATCACAGGCGCCGGGATATCGACAGAGAGTGGCGTGCCCGATTACCGTTCCGCCGAGGTGGGGCTGTACGCGCGCCGCGGCCACCGACCCATCACCTACCAGGAGTTTGTCTCGTCGGAGCCGGTGCGGCGCCGCTACTGGGCGCGCAACTTCGCCGGCTGGCCGCGCTTCTCCTCCGTGCAGCCGAACGCCGCGCACCACGCTCTGGCCGAGTGGCAGCGGCGTGGCCGGTGCTCCTCCCTGGTCACGCAGAACGTGGACGGCCTGCACACGGCGGCGGCCGGCGGGGAGGTGACTGAGCTGCACGGCTCGTCACACCGGGTCCGCTGTCTGGGCTGCGACTTCACCCAGTCGCGCCATCAGCTGCAGCGGGTGCTGGAGCGCGCCAACCCCCAGTTCGCCGCCGAGGCGCCCGCCGCTCTCCGACCTGACGGTGACGTCGAACTGGACCAGGTGAGAATGTGGGACGTTGAACTAGACCAGGTGAGAATGTGGGACGTCGAACTAGACCGGGTGGGGATGCTGGACGTCGACCTAAGCCATGTAAGAATCTGGGATGTCGAACTGGACCAGATGAGAGTGTGAGACGTCGAACTAAGCCATGTGAGAATCTGGGACGTCGAAGTGAACCAGGTGAGAATCTGGGACGTCGAACTGAACAAGGTGAGAATCTGGGACGTCAAACTGGACCAGGTGAGAATGAGGGACTGGACCAGGTGAGAATGTGGGTCGTCTAACTGGACTGTGAATGAATGTGGGGCGTCGAACTGGACCAGGTGGGGATGTGAGATGTCGAACTGGACCGGGTGAGATTGTGGGAGGCTGGTCACTGGTCAGTGAGGTCGAACTGAGCCAGGTGAGTATGACTACATAGTCAGGCTGGGCCCGTTGTTAGTTTTAGCGGGACCGGATGGTGAGATATGGGATCGGAGTAATCGTGTAGAGCAACTAAAATCTACATTGTGTGAAGCCACTAGGCATTCTTGAGATATTTTGCGGAGATGATGAAAACGTGTTGGATCGATGGCATGTAAGAAAAGGTTTGAAAGTAATCAAACTCGTATGATATTCAAATGATAGCGTAATATGCCGTCATTTCTAATAACTTTTCTCTGACGAATCTGTCAGGCTAACCGGTGCGTCGATTGTGACTGACCCCTCCTTGATCCCCCCCCCGTGCCCACAGGACCAGGTGAGCCGGTTTGTCGTGCCGCCCTGCCCCGACTGCGGCGGACTCCTAATGCCCGACATCGTGTTCTTCGGTGACAGCGTGCCGCGGGCCCGTGTGGATTCAGTTCGTCAGGCGGTGGCTGACGCCGACGCGCTGCTGGTGGTCGGCTCGTCACTGCACGTCTACTCGGCATACCGACACGTGCTGCAGGCTGTCGAACTCGACAGGCCAGTGCTGATCCTCAATATTGGACCCACCAGGGGAGACAAGCACGCCTTTTATAAACTGGACGGCCGCGCTGGCCTGGTGCTGCCCCGGCTGCGTCTCTGACCGGGTGCGGTAATCGTGTGACGAGGGTTTAGTGTGGAGAACTGACTGTGACCCGACCATCGAAGTCTGCATGTGTGGTGCCTGCGACACAGTTTGTGACGTGTTGTGAGACACCGTGTGTCTTTTGTGAGGATTTGTTGGTGTATGGTTCGATCGGCCGATGTTTTCTTTTTCATTTTCCGATGAAAAGGTTCACCACCCGCTTTTGCTGGCCGTTGCAAGACCACTGTGCACGAGGAAAACTTGTACTATCTGAGCCGCCGGCTGGCGAGTAGAAGCCACTGTGGTTAGATGGTGTTAGACAAGGGACGGAATGTGTGGCCACCAGCGCCAAGATATCCGTATGTTTGGACAATGTTGGCTTTGATGACGAATTTCGATTAGTAGGCAGTGACATAAACAGGACACTTATGCCCATGGCGTTGTAAATGAGGACACCATTCTGTTAGTGCTAAACGGCGCTGGTGGTGGTTTTTATTGTTGTTTATATTTGAGAAGCGTACACGTTTTCGTTCTTTGTCATCTCACTTTACGTTTGTTTTTGCTTGCATGTGATAGATATTGAGAGAAAATGTGTTTTACGGGCTAGAGTAGGCACCATTCGTAAAGACCACGTTTTGGGTGGATTCTACCTCCTATTCATAAAGCCTACGTTGACTTGTGTGATACCATGTTATGTACAGGCTGCAGTGTCCCTAATGATGTAACTATTGATGTGCATGATGGTGATTGCCTAGAAATTTTAATCGTTGATATGAATGCTTAATGTCAAATGTGCAATATGCGCAATCCACGGTTGCCGAAATGTCATTGTTTAGGATGTTTTTATGTAAATTTGTGACTGATGAGTGATGAGTGCAAAATATGAATCCATGTCAATATAATAGGTACAACCTCGTAGTCGTGCGTCTTGTTCGACCGACGCTGGACGTCCAGTGTCGGTCCAGTCGGGTCGGGCTTTGAAGTGGATAAACAATTTGGCGAGCACTACTGTTGATGGCAGGGTGATTCAGTCATTGATGGCTCTTGTGCTAAGGCCGTCTTTCCGTGTCAGGGCATTCGCTGAGGGTTGTGCCAGTTTTCACTGGTGGCCTCTCGTTTGGTTGAAAGTGCTCTTGTTCAGGAACCGTACTGGCTCGACTGCCATCTCGCCGTGCAGCAGCTGGAAGACGGTGATCATATCGCCTAAGTGTCATCTGTAGTACAGGGAAGGGAGGCGGAGGAGGCGTAGTAGGTGGGGTACTGAAGATGTCTGATGTCGGTTAAATGACTTCATCGGAACCATATAGATTCTGGGTAATCTGGCGAGTCTAGTCTCTGTTGCCTGCGGGCTGGGCTTGTTCCAGTTTACTGTGGTCTCGCCTGGAATATTCTGCCAAAGGTTCCCATATTAAGCTCTCATTCTCAAGAAAAAGTCCGACCATGGTCTTGTATAGACGTATAGCAGGGAGAGGGTGGCATTCGATGGTAATGAAGCTGCAGCATCTGTTATGATTTCGCAACGGCAGTTGCTGTCCGCAGGCGTAACTTCGGGTAGATATTGATCAACATGACGACGCCGAGGTCCTTTTACTTTTTCAAGCCTTTCATGCCGTCAGTAACAGTGCTGCTCAGCAAGCTCAGACGATAGCAGGGGCTCCGCCACGGTTTTGGGATTGGGGGGGTCCGACTCAAAACACAAAACCTCGCTGGCGGATCCAGGGTGGGCATTTTGGGCGAATTCATCCTCCCCCGCCCTGCAGCTCCCGAAGATGATGAAAGCTTGCCGCTTTTCTAGAGCTCAAAGAAAACTTAGTATTTTTTTTTTCGGGATAATTTTGCTTTAAACTGAAAACCCAAGGTTCAATTTGCACAAGGAATCGAAAACCGAGAAGCGGAGCCCATTGACACCGACATGGCGGCCTCTCAAATCAACGTTTTTGAAGAATGGAGGCCACTGTTGCGCACTCCAAGGGCGGTGTAAGCCATCAGACAGAGCATTAGGCTCTCAGTGACTGGCATGCGCTTGGGAATTCAGGGACCTTCATAGGCGCTCAGATATCTACGTAGGCTCTTAGCAGTGGCGCACCCAAGGGGGGGCCTTGGGGCCCGCCCCCCCCCCCCCCGCTCGGTCATAATTAGGAGGCCCCCTGAGCACCGCTTAGGGTACTTTTACACTTGACTTTCCTGCCTAACCTACTATAATTCTGCACAAGATGCACTATCTGGGCAGAGGCCAGGAGGCCCCCTCTGGTAGGCGACCCTTGATGGGCAGGAGGCCCCTTCTGGATGTGAGGCACCTTCTCACAGGAGGCCCTATCTGGGCAGGAATCAAGAGGCCCCCTCTGGCAGGAGATCCTTCATGGGCAGGAGGCCCCCGAGGCTCCCTCTGCACAGGAGGCCCCCTCTGGTAAGCGACCCTTGATGGGCAGGAGGCCCCGTCTGGCAGGGGACCTTTTATGCACAGGAGGCCCCTTCTGGATTTGAGGCACCTCTCACAAGAGGCCCTATCTGGGCAGGAATCAAGAGGCCCCCTCTGGCAGGAGATCATTCATGAGCAGGAGGCCCCCGAGGCTCGCTCTTCACATGAGGCCCTTTCTGGACAGGAGCAGGAGGCCCCCTCTGGCAGGAAAGCCTTTATAGGCAGGAGGCCCCTCTGGCAGGACACCTTTTCTGCTTAGTAGGCCCCTTCTGCATGGGAGGCTCCCTTCTGCACAGATGGCCCTATCTGGGTGGGAGCCAGGAGGCCCCCTCTGGCAGGAAATCTTATACTGGGCAGGAGGCCCCCTCTGGCAGGAAATCTTATACTGGGCAGGAGGCCCAGAGGTTTCCTCTACTTAGGGGCCCTTTCTGGGCCGGAGTCAGGGGGCCCCTCTGGCCTCTTGCAGGAGACCCTTTCTGGGCAGGAGGCCCTCTCTGGATGGGAGTCTCTCTCTGCATAAGAGGACATATCTTGGCAGCAGTCAGGAGGCCCCCTCTGCACAAAATGTCCTATCTGGGTAGGAGCCAGGAGGCCCCCTCTGGCAGGAGATCCTATATGGGCAGGAGGCCCCGAGACTCCCTCTGCACAGGAGGCCCTTTGTGGGCAGGAGCCAGGAGGCCCCCTCTGGCAGGAGACCCTTTATGGGCAGGAGTCCCCTCTGGCAGAGGACCTTTTATGCTTAGGAGGCCCCTTCTGGATGGGACGCTCCCTTCTGCACAGAGGGCCCTATCTAGGCAGGAGCCAGGAGGCCCCATCTGGCAGGAGCTCCTTTATGGGCAGGAGACCCCGAGGCTTCCTCTGCACAGGGGCCCTTTCTGGGCAGGAGTCAGGAGGCCCCTCTGGCCTCTTGAACGAGACCCTTTATGCCCTCTCCTGATGGAAGGCTCCCTCTGCACAAGAGGCCCCTTCTGGCAGGACTCTCTCTGGATCCCCTCTGGAAGGAGACCGTCTCTGGGAAAGAGGCCATCTCTGGATAGGAGGCCCCTCTTCACAAGAGGTCCTATCCGGGCAGCGCCTCGCCCTGGCAGGGCATTTTTCATAACGCGGCCTGGCAGAGGGGGGGGGGTCGATGCGACCCCCCTCGCGATTGGATCCTATGGCACCTAGAAATACCAAATTTGGTAGGTAGGTGGCCCTCTTAAAATCCTCGTCCCTGTGCAAATTTGGTTGCTCTAGGTCAATATTTAGGGGTTTTTGGGAGGTATAATTGTAAAAAATTTGCTAAAACAGGTCAAAAGTTTTCGCTGATAACTTTTGATCTAATTAACCCGCGCCGGGCAGGTGCTCCGCGACTTCCGCGCCGGGCCGGGGGGGGTGTCTGAAAACCCCCCTTCTAACTCGGCTCCTGGGTCACGTAGCGACACGCGGTAAGCGGCATTCAAAAGAGCGTCCAAAATAAGTACGAAAACACTTCAGTCATTTTTTGGGTCAGGTCAAAGGTCAGGTTACCAGAGGTCACCAAAGGTAAAATGTTGGCTATTTCAACATTTTGGAAACTGCCAACGGCTAACTCGGGAACCGATAGAGCTACAGCGCCGCGGAAAAGCGCATTCGATAGCTCTTTTGACGCTCTTTCGCCAATATGTCCTCAGATTTGACCTCAGGTCAACGGTTTAGCCTCCAGAGGGCAAAAACTCCAAAAATAGCCGTTTTTTACGAACAGTGTTTTTCGGCAATAACTTCTGACTCAAAAAAGCCACGACATTACTTTTGCCAGAATCGTGTTCCTCTTGTCAAAACGCGTCGAATGAACTATAAGTTGACCTTGAAAAGTCAACTTAAAAATTTGACCTCAGGACCTGACCGGAAAAGGTCATGTTGCATATCAGTCGATCCGCATCGTCGAGCCGAACACATCTAAGGCGTTTTCATCGCTCTATCATGCCTCTATCAGAAGTTATTAGCAAAAAACTGTTAGATACTATTCGTGACCTGAGATGACCTCGGGGACATCTCAGAACGAGGGGTCACACTACGGGTCACAGGTGCAATTTTCGGGTTCAGTGTGTCCATTTTACCTACATCCCGATGTTTGAGAGTGTCTAGAATGGCGTTCGTGCAAAACAGACGCCTTTCAATTTTCTCCCATTGAATTATAATAGAGAGGCCGCAAAATTGACCTGACCTTAGGTCACCGATATCGAAATTCCGAGATACACGTTTAATAGGTTTTTATACACGCTTTTATAGGATACACGAGATACACTGTTACTCTCATCAATCGCTGAAAGTTTCAAGGCAATCGTGCGGTCGGTGTAGCCATGACGAACATTCTAATTTGTTTCTGACCTGACCTTGAGAGACCTGGGTCTGAAATTTTCACAGCATGTGCGGAAAAGATGCACGAACAGGTGTGTTAAAAACGGCGGCGCGGAGCTGCGAAAAGCCGCCGGGGGGGGGGTGTTCAAACACCCCCCGGCCCGGCGCGGGTTAAGATAGAGCAAAACAAAAGCACCAGTGAACTCAGCACGTCAAGGCGTGTCGAATGATATACTTTTTTTGTTTGCTTAAGTGTACTTAAAAGTGTAGGTATTAAAGTGTACTTAAGTGCACAACTTAAGTAAAACTTAAGTCTTAGGAATGGTTGAAATGCTTAATGTTGCATATCATTCGACTCAGCTGTTCAAGAGGAACAGAATGATACCATTTTGAAACCTGTTCTATTATGTGACAAGTTATCGGCACAAACGTCATTTGACCTGAGTTGACCTCATTTGACCTGAACCTTAGATAAGTACACCAAACAAAGAAACACCGAGTGACATTATGTTAAGTACTGTGGTATCAAAGAACAAAAGGGATACAACGAAGCGGACATCTCTATATTTTCCGAATAGGAGTTATTTGAATATTTTCCCATAGGCTTAACATTACGACGTAATGACCCCTAACTGACCTCAGGTCAGTGACATAAAAAACGAACTACATATTATACAGCTCGGTGAACTTAGCACATCCTGAAAGTTTGAAGGAAATCAGTCCAAAACTGTGCGTTGGACAGGTACATAAAAAATTAAATTTGACCATAACCTTGTACCCGTTTTTCTGACATGGTGGCCTGACCCAAGGTCGACCGGACCTGAAATTTGCAGATCACATGAAAAAAGGTTGCCCCATAGGTTGTGCCAAATTTAGCGGCGTTGCGCGCCGCCAATTTTACGCTATCTTTGAAAAACCTTAGGGGGGGTCGCATCGACCCCCTGCCAGGGTGAGGGTTAAGCTTTACTAATAACGCTAAGAACGTCACCAAACATACAGAGGCCGTCAAAAAGTAAGCCATTTGGAGGCCCCCTCGATAGAGAAAAGGCCCCCTGGCAAGCGGAACACGGAGGTCCCTTTGAGCCCGGGCCCCCTCCCCTGGAAAATCCTGGGTGCGCCCCTGGCTCTTAGGCCAGTGCCGGATCCTCCAAGGCCGTATTTAAGGAAAGCGCAGGGCTTTAGGAGTCGTTGAAGGGATTTGAAAGCCCTGCCCTCATACATATAGCAGTATGGAGTCCTTAGAGACTGACATTCAGTCTCTGTGATCAGAGAGTGACCTAGCTTGACCTGAAAATGGATATCAAAATGCTGCAATTGAATCAAAGGTCAGGTTATGCAGGGGATCCTGTAAGAGTTGTGATTTGTAGACGTATCTCTACCGACCTGCATTCAGAGTCCTGTGCAGATTATTGCAGATTACCTCAGAACGGTGTGAGGCTGCTTAGACTAGTACGGTGCTTGAAAGACCGGCTTAACCCCCTTCCCCCAACACTATCGGTTCACCTCACATGGAAAAAGGATTCTCAGATCGATTTGAAGCTCTTTTGGGGCGGGTATTGTGTCTATGGAGGTGTCCTGCAAGCTGGACCTCTCTCACGAAATTATAGCCGCGAATTCTAGCATGCTGAGCTAATCCTATAGCAATCTTAAACGCATTCATTTTAATAACAAAATGGTAGAATAATGACACTTCCGTACCTACATATAGGTCGGCGAGAGTTGAGTGCTTCGTGTGTCACATTTTAAGGGATCCCTACACTTCTAGATCTTAAATTCCTTAGCTTTGCGACTGCACTGAAAGAAAAGTACACCCAAAATTGGAATAATTTTACGGTGCCTAAATCTCCAACCCTAAGTGATCATTCTACTCCCCCGTGTAAACTGCTTTAACATGGGCGATTAGCGACTATTTTTACCACCGGGTGTTGTCAAATAACTCCCATGAGCTTAAAAATACACCCACTCTGGAGTAAAAGTACGGTGCCTAAAAGTCCAACCCTAAGGAATTATTTTACACCCCCGGTGTAGGGGAGTAAAGGCGAATAAAGCATGCGATTTACGAGAGTAATATTGCACTCCCAGTGTAATAATATCAAATCGGATTTCACCCCCTGCTTCTGAGTGTAAAAAAAGTAAATAGCATAAATACACCAGAGTAAAAAAAAGTTGAAGGAGTAAAAATAAATCACATTATAATTCACGTTGAAACAAAAACTCAAAAAGATAATTCTATGACTGAAAGGCTTGGAGTAAAATTACCCCGAGTTAAATATACGCTACTGTTTCAGTTTACCCTCTGGTGTATTTCTATGTCTAGGCTGCAATGTAATGGTATATCGTCTGCTTATACATACTTTGAACCAAAATTCATGATGAAGTCAAACGGATGGCATGCGATGACCATTTCGGATAGTATCGTGTAACCATGAGATGTCAGATACGCTATGGGCAGGATACGCATTGTGAACGCGCGGTACGAGGGATCCGAAATTATGTACAATAAATAAAACAGTGATGTCTGCCAGTCGGTGCAATAAAACGTGACTGCTAATAATGCAAATAGTAATTAAGAAATATCATGTTTAACACATATCATGTATTGATCATAGTTCAATCACAGTACAATCACTGGCTTCGATCTCGATGAGTTTGATTACGTTATATCACAGACACTTTGATCACAAACAAACCACCCAATCACTTTGTTCTATGTACATGGGGTTGCGCAGTGCGCACGTAAAATACCCGATTTGAAACTTGAATTGGCTAAGGGATAGTTAGCCCAGTTAGCTTCCAGCATAGTTAGCCAAATTGAATATTTTCATACAATGTGATACACGTTTGGGAAGACATTCTTCCAAGTTTTAGATAAATCCATTCACGTTCAGCTCAGTTGTGCTGTGCACCTCGACGTGACTCCTATCGTTTTTCAGTACTTTCTCGAGGCGCTCGCGGTACGCCAGCGCTGCTTTCTAGCGCATCTCGACGGTGATCTCTGCGAAGGCGGCTCTGAGCCGACCGTGTAACTTCGGAATGTTCGCCGTCTGCGTCAAGTATGCATACGACTTCACAGACCCCCACATGAAAAAATTCACGCGCGGGGTGAGGTTGGGCTTCGCCCAAACTGCCCTGGCCACCGCACTCGCCCAATTTGCCCTGGCCACTGCGCTAGCCCGACCTCACCCCGCGTGTGATTTTTTCATGTGGGGGTTTGTGAAGTCGTAGGCATACTTGACGCAGACAGCGAACATTCCGGAGTTACACGGTCGGCTCAGAGCCGCCTTCGCAGAGATCACCGTCGAGATGCGCTAGAAAGCAGCGCTGGCGTACCGCGAGCGCCTCGAGAAAGTACTGAAAAACGATAGTGGTCACGTTAAGGTGCACAACTCAGCTGAGCGTGAATGCATTTGTCTAAAACTTGGATGAATATCATCCCAAACGTGTATCTACGTATGTACATTGTGTGAAAATATCATCAAATTTGGTTAATAATCATGGAAGGTATTAAAGTTTCAATTCGGGGGTTTTCCGTGCGCCACCCTGTACTTTGTACTCTTGGCGCTTAAACATGAAAAACTTTGAAACATGAAACGCACGCAGACCACGCAGTATACAGTATACACTCTTCGTCTGTGGGTCTGTGCTAGATCTGAGCTGCCGACATGACAAGAGTGGCGTACCGCAATTGCCAGTACTCTCGCACGCGCATCTTGCACTCTACTCAGCCAGGGAGCACACTATCTTCTACGATGCTTTACTTAGTGAAATAGATGTTTAGGGCCTTCTTGTAGAGCACCTCGAAGAGGCACTTGCATGGTCAACAGAACGGAAGATAAAACACGGCATGAGTTGCAAGGATTGTGGCAACTTCACCGACCTTCGACTGTGGCAGCTCGAACTCGCTCTCTGAACGTTGAGGCGGGACGACTGAACACTCACGGAGCTCTGCTCGTTCTTCAGATCGTCCAGCGTCGCCCCGCGCCCGTAGGCGGGTAGCGCCACCAGTTCGTCACCTGTGAAGAGGAAAATAAATTAACAATGATTTCCCGACACAGCGGAGCCAGGAGAATAAACATTATTGTATGGTTACTCCCGTTGAAGCCTCAGCCCTTCGGGACCCGTCAGGAGCGCGGCTCGCTGCCCTTCCGTGGTGCAACTGAGTGAGATATAAATTGTCTGCATGTATTCACCGGTTCAGGATGCAATACGTAACATTACTTTTACTATTGAGTAAAGATACATCTCAGATATTTGTATACGGATAGAATCAAAATGATAAATCACATAAAGTTTTAATTATAATTACGCATCTTCAAGTCATGAATAAACATAGTGTACTAATTTCGCCGGGACCAGAGAAAGGCCACAATGCCAACGCTGGTAACTTGTCTGTAAAGAGGGACATAAAGTAACCAATGACCCCGCATTCCGCAACCACCGTTGACCGTTCCCCCATGTGCGTTATACGTAGGTAGGATGAGAAAGTAGGGGAGAGTGGGGCACATTCGTGCAAAAAATAGATAAATCCATATATCTTTTCTTTGGTTAGTGCAATGGCAAAATTGTTGATTATAGTATGGAAAGGAACTATTGCATGATATTTTTCCTCTTTAAAAGTTATCCTCTAAAATTATTGCTTCTATTAGAAAAAAATGACTTTTAGCTGAACGTTTGCACGAAACTGCCCCACCTATGGGGCACATTCGTGCAAGGGACGGGGCACTTCCGTGCATCCTGCAAGTGCAAAGTTCGAGAAATTACCGGGCATTACCAGAAATTTACCAAAGGAAATTGGCAGGGGGTCATTTCACTTGATTCCTTTCGACAAGAATGCATTGCACAACATATGTAGACAGAATGGGGTGGCCAACAAGAATGTGCCGGCCTCCGTGACCTCGCCAAGTTCGCGTGAACTACTCGTCACGACGTCGCAAGCAGCCGAGACTGAGTCAGGCGAGCGTCATTATAGTGAAACCTATTACAGATAAAGTCATAAATCGCAAAAACTAAAAAAATATGCACGAATGTGCCCCCAGGCAGTGCGTACACTAACCTGCCCCACAACGTTATTTGTAATATATTTCAAAACTTCTTGTTGAAAAAATGACACTTTTTCAACAAACAAGTTTGCAGCAGTTCCGTGAATAGAGTGAGCTTCTTCGCCCCCAATTTTGAAAAGCTGAACCCATTTCCGAGTCTGGATCACGAAAATGGATGATATGAGAAAAGTTTGGAAAGCTCACGAACATTACAAATTTTCCAGTTCCAGTTTGGTAAATTTTGACATTTTTCGATATGAAGGACGAGTGCGTTCGATCTATTGTGGTTCCGGACATCGCGTTTGTGTTCCTTCAATCGTGTGTCGAGTCACATTTTTCGATATGAAGGACGAGTGCGTTCGATCTATTGTGGTTCCGGACATCGCGTTTGTGTTCCTTCAGTCGTGTGTCGAGTCACAAACGCGATGTTCGGAACCACAATAGATCGAACGCACTCGTCCTTCATATCGAAAAATGTCAAAATTTACCAAACTGGAATAGTGCTCATGTCATTGAAAAAGGCATGTCAAAATCGGTGAGAAAAGCTCTGGAAGCAGCTCACATCTGTTTCCAAGATACAGTGAACGAAAAACCTGGATTCTTCACCTGGGCAAAAGCGGCTGCAATGTTGGCACTAGGAAAAAAATCTTAAACGATTTCTAAACGAAAGGTGATTGGCGAACTTTGAAAGACTCTGAGAAAAGGCGAGCGAATTAAACGTTCCGACATTGACATTGTGACCTGTAGGTACATTCATTATATAATTTAATTTTCAGCATATCAAAAGAACGCGACAAGAACAATAGCGTGATGAATGCCGTTCTCGGTTGAATCAAAGAATGCATTTCGAAACCTGTGCCCGATGTGTCGACTTCAAACGATTTATACCGATTGTTTTTGATACTGTGTTTTTAATTTAACCCTCGCCCGCACATGCCATTTTCCCATCCTAGAACGCACATGGGGGGTGGTTGCCACCCCCCCCCCCCGCGCCATTTCGTTCCTGTTGGAGATAGAGCTTAGCGGTAAAGACCAAAAAGATTCTTTGGGAAGAGACGAATCCAACGATACCCAGTTTTACCTTCTCAGGTCAGTCATTGACCTTCCAGGTCAGGTCAAACTAAAAAATGTTGCTGTTTTGGGTCACCGTTGGATATCAAGTGCGCTGCTTATCAAATGCCGATGACGATGGTGTTTTCTGGTGCCAAGCCAGCTAAAACCTCTTTGTCACACTACCCGACCAGAATTTTGCTGCTGAGGTCATTTCAGGTCAAGTTAGGTCAAGGTCAATTATATGTGTTTGTATGTCTGTGTGTGTCTGTGTGTATACTGATGTGTGCACCGATTGTTTTTGGGTCCATATTACATGAAATCATGATCTGAGAAGCTTTTACCAAAAATGCAGTCAAAAAAATTCACAAAAAGTAAATTCCGCTTGCCTAAAACGCAATTATCTTAGATGACCTAGGTTGACCTTGACCCTGACCTTGACCCCTGTACATCGTCGAACAACATGTTCCATGATAGGTGGGAGGTAATACTGGCAAAAAAGGCCGAAATCAGGGTGTCAAAAGCTCACAAGGCCCATGGCAAACGCAAGATGTTGAGAATTAGCCATTTGGGTCATGACATGACCTGAAAACAAGGTCATATCTCCGAAACCAAAAGTCACAGAAACTTCAAATTTTCAGTGGACATCAAGAAAGGATAGAGGAGCAGCCATACGAAAAATCAGCCCTCTACCTCTAAAAATGTTGAGTGCAGAGCAGAAAGACTACCTGGGGGGGTGGCAACCACACCCCCCCCCCCCCCCCATGTGCGGGCGAGGGTTAATTAATCACTAGTATCCACTGACGAAGGCACCCTGTGGCCGAAACGTCTGGTTTTAGGAATTTGACTTGTGTTGCCATCGATCGTGAATAAAACTCAATGATTATTTACAATAGACCTTATAGCTGTGGCTACCAGAAATCAAAGCCCACAGTTGTATAAACAGTCAACAGATATTCGTCGGTCCTCGGACATTCTGAGAAAAATCATCGATCAGATTGGCGCATGCCTTGCGGTCCGAGGAGCTATCAGCACAGATTACAAATTGGACGGGGGGGGGCGCGTAGATTGGCCTGCTACATCTGAAAATGTAAAAAAAAAAAATAGCGCCCTCTCACGATCACAATACCATAACCCGCGCACCGACGGGGGTCTGCGCCAACTTCGTACCGACGGGGGGGGGGGGCGGATGACTGCCCCCCCCCCTGAGATCTCGAGAACGAAGCAAGATAGCGACAAGAGGTAAGCGGCAAGGGATACGCACGGACAAGGTCTACAATTTTTACTAAGGTCATTTTCAGGTCAGGTCAAAGATGACGTCACAGGGGTCAAAAAAGTCAAAATAGCGGCGCTAGGTATAGAGAGAGTTTTTCTCGAATAACTTTCGAACTAGTCAATATAGGAACAAACTAAGGGCAGCATCGTGATCCTCTCGTCAATCCGCATCGAATGATATATATGTTGACCTCAAAAGGTCAAGGTCAAAGGTTGACCTCAGGTCACGTGAGCTCGAGGTCATCATGCATATCATTCGATGCGCCTTGACGAGCTGAGCACAATGAGACCATCCGCGCGGCTGTATCTTGTTCCTGTACGGAGTTATTGTCAAAAAACCGCTGGTGACCTTTGATGACGTCACATGACCTTACAGCTGCCCAACTGCAAAACAGACCTCAAGGTAGTGAAGGTTGATCGTATATGAGGTCATGTATGGTTTATGGGGCCATTCCGACCCGTTTTAGTGGTAAAAACAGGGAGTTGATTTTTCCCCCATTGACTAATAATGGGGAGGTCGAGAAATTGACCTTGACCTTAGGTCATCGATATCAAAATTATGAGATAAAAAAATTGTAGCTACTAATGACCTTATAACATCCTGCGACTTTCAAAGGCCTCCGACATCTACTGTAGCTCTGGCACGGTGACAAAATTGCAAAAAAGTGACTTGAGGCTGGGTCATTCAAAGTGACCTGGTGACCTGACCTTAAAAAAAGTTAGGAGGTTCAAACTTGCACACCATGTGTAAAATTGATGAGAGAATAGTCGTACCAAATTTCGCGTTCCCGCTATTTGCGAAAAACCTCAGGGGGGGGGGGGGGGGGGCAGAATCCGCCCCCCGTCGGTGCGCGTGATAAGTGATCGAAACTCACCGTCGGTGATTGGCGTATCAGGGAGGACGTTGGCCGCATACTGCTCACACACTTGCTGGATGTTCGTAACTTTTTCCTTTAGCTCTTCTGGCTCCTCACGAGTCCCCATAATCAGGGTCAGATCGTGCCACAACTGAAATGGAAGGAAAACAAATATTAGGCAAATATAGAGCGTGCAATCACCAGTAGCGTCGCTAAAATGGGATCTTATAGGAGCCGGGAAACTCTGGTGTCGCATCGAACGAGCTCAGGTGACCACCTGCTGAGCATGATTTTAACTTAATTCCTGTGTGGCTGGCTCCTACCTACAAAAGGCCTCCGATCTAGAGGGCATCATCTCTTTTGAGGAGTCAGAGGGCCGAGGGGCCCTAGTGGTCACTGGTCAGACACAGATACCATCGGCTATTCACAGGAGGCCCCAGGTGGTAAGAAAGACCCCAGCTGTCAGCGAAAAATAGAAGGAAAACTATTTATATCACATTTTTTGGCTGTAAATTGATAATGGTCAGTCTGACCAGCAAGTCACTTTCACTGTGACCAAAAATGGGTTAAAGGGACTATCCCACCTTCTAAAATGTTGTTAAAACCAGTTAAATTGTGCCCGACTTTATAGATTGGATGACCAGGAACACGGTTCTGGCATTTATTTTTCATTAAACATCTTAGGCTTCCCATATTCCAAACACAAACTTTCAAATATGTGACGTCACAGCCCAAAATTACCTCCTTCCCCAGGCCACATTACTGTCATAAATCTGATTCTTTTTACTCTGTAGGCACCACAACAAAGTTCAGACCAAGTTTTAAGCGATTTTTCAACGAACAAACCCATTTAAATCAGAATGACTAAACGAGGTGACGTCACACTAACGGTCGCTCTATGTTGAAGATAGGGCCTTGTACAAGCCCATTTTCAAATGAAGGGAACGAATTTCTTCAACACCAAGAGGTCGCGGGGGTTGCAACCTTAGATACCTAGATAGTGGTTTCTGAACCTCGCCGCAAACTTGGCTATCTCAACTCAAACCCCATGTTAAAGGTGGAATAGTCCCTTTAATATAAGGCAATATCCTGGCCAAAAGATACATTTTAAGTCTTACCTTTGTTGTTCACTGCTTGCCGCGGTCTTGGTCGTCCAGTAGACACTGCACGCTTCACCTGCACGCCACCCCACGCTTCACCATGTATCCATCCAGTTCAAAGTTTCGACACAAACGGTAAAATGGCGGTACAAAATGGCGGTATAAATTGGCCACGTGGAACACCATAGTAAAATAACGCCCCGAGCTGTAAAAATACAACACTGAAGACTGAAATAACCATGTAGCATAAAACCACACCTAAAAATCCCTCGCTTATCAAGTCCACAGTGTAAATTTACTCCATTTAGGTTTTGCGATAATCAGCTGAACCACGCAAGTGTAAATTTATGCTACCAACTAGCCATTTCCCAGCCAGCAATTTTGCTCCGGGCCCAAGCAGGCTCAAGTGCGGATTGCCCGAGATTTTAAGTCGGGCTAAAGTCGGCTAGGGCTTGGGCTTAAGTCGGCGTATGACACAAAAACGCCGACTAAAGCCCATGCTCTGCCGGAGGTATGCCCGCTCTGCGAGCTCCGGACAGCCGTAGCTTAGCCCTAGTTGAGCGACGATTGGCGTTAGCCCGATTTAAGCCTGAGCAGTGAATCCATTTATATAATGGAGATTACTCTGGGCCCGAGCGGGCTGAACTCCGGCAAGCCCACTCTGTGTGCCCTGTCTATCCCGACTTAAGCCATAGAAGTGAATGGGGTTTATACATTGCAAATTGCTGTGGCTTTGCTCGGGTTCGGCTCGAGTGACGGCTCCTGTTTTCTCAAGTCTCGACTTGACTTCATCTTGATTTTGCTTCACACTGGATCAAGTAGCAAGGAGCAGCCAATGCACTTTCAGCAGGTTGTGCGGTTACAATGCATATTCAAAATTGTTACGGTCACTCATATGCTCTGTTAACCGGTCATCGAGCATTGCGAAAGGAAAGTAGTGGTTGACTTTGATTGAATTATATTTCAAACGACTACAGACACGTCAAATGAAACACAAATGTATGAAACAGTGGACTGCAAACTGCAGCAATAATATGGCATAAGTCATGAAAAAGCGCCATCAAAACTATAAAACAATCACAAGGCCCGCTAGCCTCCCTACCCGTTCATAATACTTAGTTGAACACCCAACCGAAAGCATAAAGTAAGGACAGCAAGTACATAATCGCTCATAAGACATAAAGCAATTAGCAAACAATCGTTTATAAGGAACTTCATTCTGGTGAATGAGAGCTTTGTAGGCGTCTGGCTCCTCCACACACACACACACATCTGCAGTAGGTAGATGGTCGGTCAGCTTTCGGCGCAGTTTCCGTATATGTAGGTATACCTACTTAATTATAAGCAGGCAGTAATTCCGCTAAACCACTTGGCGAGGGCGACTGCGGCGTCCACCCGGTCCTGGTTTGTATAACTATTCTTTTTTTTTTGGAACCATTTGCTCTGATGGTACGTACCTGAAAAAGAGATTAATTGGTTTAATTTACATTGCATAGGCTTTAAAAATAACTTATTGTTGCATTAATACTGTAAAAGCACTTCTCATTGATCCGTATAAAATGCTCATTCGATTTTCAAGGCGGACAGAGAATGAGCGTGCTCGGTGATAAGTAGATAAATATTTGTGTTTTGCATTTCATTTTCCTGGTTCAGAAGTGCTGGTATTTCACAAAGATATAAAGGCACGGAATGCGGCTTTTCTGAGTGAGGGTATAAGTCGCCAGGCTGAACAGCTATTCAGCTTCATGTTTGATGACGTAAAACTCAGTCAAAATCATGACGTTTACATACGATCAAACGCACCATTCAATACACTTACCTACCGTAAAACTCCATGCCAGTCCACTTGATAAGAGCAGTGCAGAGCACTATCCCTTCTTCGCGCTGTCACACGTGCCCAAACATCAACCACCAAATGCCCCAACACCGGTGTGTCGTTTCGTCGCACAGCGCGCAGACTGTCACAAACGCTGCACATGATTGGCGCAGAACTGCGCATGCGCGAACAGCCGAACAAGTATGGCTAAGCTCCGGCTTTACTCCAGTTAGCCGAAGGACACAGCCAGCTTAATCAGCCCGCGCTCCGCCCAAGTTAAGCCTGTTTTGGATGCGTGGGCAGATGTCGGGCTGAGCTACTGCTATCCGCACGTGGGCATAGCTGCGGCATGCCCCAGCTTAGCCCTAGTAAAAAATACATTGGTTTTGATCAAAGTGGGCAAACCCAAGCTAAGCCCAGGCTGCCCGATGTTTGCCACAGTTCAGCCCAAGCGAATTGCTGGCTGGGTTATTATCCGCATGGGATTAAAAATGCACTTGGGTAATAATTTTACTACCAATAAGCTGAGGTGTAAAAAACATAAGAACTTGAAATTACACCATAGTTGCAAGAAAACCCTAAAGTACTGGATGGATTACACCTAAGTTGAGTAAAAAATGCACCTAGTCATCTTTTAACTCTGAATTTTCGGCTAAGGGTGGTACAAATAGTCTGGAAAGTGGTGTTAAGTGGTTACAAATATCACCCAAAAATACCACCAAGGTGTACTTTTCTTTCAGTGTGTCAACACTGCACATTCTAAATTATTCAACACATTCTGTGAATGATTTAGTCATTCTTACGCGAAAACAAGCTTATAGGTATTCGGAATATTGGGGGGTACTGTACCCCCCAGGTAAATTATTGAGGGGGTCCGGACCCCCGCGTACCCCCCTGTGGCGGAGCCCCTGGACGATAGATCCTGTTTTTAGGGTCCAGGGTTTTAGTTTCGTATGCCGAGATGCATCACTGCAATGAAAGACGCTGAAAAAGATAAAATTCTCTCTTCTTTGGATCAATATTGGTTAAAATTTCGTCATTCAACAATTATATATATCAATAATCAAAATAATAGCCATTTTTGAGCTTAAATGACATGCCGAATCAACGTGTGAGTCAGCGTGATTTATTTTAGTAGCCCTGTTCTTTTTATTTTAATTTCAAGTAATGTAGATTTAGAAAACATCATTATTCATTTATGTGAGCCACTTCACATGATTTATTTCAATTTTTAGTAATGCAAAATGCTTCCATCTTATTGCTACAAACTGCTGAAGAAAATAAATTGAAGAAAATATCAGCTGATTGTTACTTCAGTAGCGACATCTACCGTGCTTTCCTCTGTTGGTCATTTCGCCGCAGTGTCCGTGTCCGTGGCTTTCATTTTAATTTTAAAATGGCATCCATTCACAGAATTATCTCACGGGGCCTGCAAACTTCTGCGAGGCGGCTTGGAGCCGAAGCCCACGAAAATCATGAAGGTACGTGACATCCGCGTGGAAATGACAAGTGAGATTGCTTCGCGTCAAGCGCTCCAATCTCAATCTGAATCACAAATAAATTCTGATAAAATTGTGATAAAAGCTGAATAAATTGTCGCCAGGCATTCGATATTCTTGCTTCATGTTGTCCGGATGGATCTTTTTACCCTAGTGGGTGTCACTTTTTTACTTAAATTGGTGAAAGGATGTGACGTGACGTAGAGCGTTTGTGTCTGCGATGTAGGTAATTAGGTAGGTAGCTTTCAAATGCTACTGAATGATAAAAGACATCATTTGGAATGGTTTCTAAACATTCCACCTCAGAATATCCATAAAAAACACAAAAATACTTATGAAACACACTCTCCTCCCGCCGTCTTGGTTTTCTTCAAGGCCGTATTATTATAGCAGGCGTCTCAGGTGCTGCCACCTTTTTTGAAAAGCCCCCAGACTCGTCAATTCTTGAGATATTCACCCTAATTTTGCTTATAGAAGTCTTCATCAAATAGTAGGTATTACAGAACAAAGCATAAGCACTAGCCTGATCTAACCTTACCTTTAACCTACTAACCTAAAACCTATAATGGACAAACCTACAAGTTACAACCTCCAAACCTACAACCTACCAACCTACAACCTACAAACCTAAAACCTACAACTTAAAAACCCACAAATGTGCAGCCTACTGCAAAACGTGTGCAAATATCTCAAGAACTGGTATGAGAACAAGAACTGGTCTCAAGAATCGATATGAGAAGTCATAAAGGACTTCTCATATTGTGAAATATAAAATGCCAAACTGTGCTCCTCCTACATATAAACCTACTGTCGTTTCATTGACTGAATAAAATGCTAGTATGTTGAATATATGTGGGGTGTTATAAAATGGTATGCTATGTTAGGGCCATTCAAGTTGCTGTGGATCTCTGCCCCCTTTGGAAGAATGAATAGGGCTGCTGATTTGGGGCAGGACTCTGGGTTATGGCTGCCCCAACCACTTAAAGGTAGTGTGCCAGCTTTCTTGGACCGTATGGAGTTAATGGCCCAGATAAGGAGAACCGGATTTTTAGAACTTATCCATACCTTCAAAACTCATGGAAACGTCTTAAATTCTTCAAATTTTGAGTACCCCAGTGCGAAATTCGCCCCGACGGGTTGTCGGTCGTACCCCAACCACATTTCACACCACTATGAACAATAAATGCACACACTGAAATCGCTATTACCGATATGCTCATCCAATCAAGTTTCGATAAACCCGTTCATCATCATCTCCTGCGGTTTCGAACACGCCTGTTAGGTGGCTTCTGATGCTCGTCGAGGTCGGAATTTCCAAATACGCGTGGTGCGTCGGGCCGCGCGCGCTCTGACTTCGGCCAAGAAAAATGCGTCAGCTGATCATTGTCATTTCTGCCACTTGCGTGTGGTGAAATGGGGTCATAACTTATAAGACGGCTTTTTCATATCAATTATTTTACATAAAATCATATTTCAAACCATAAATAATGTTCGACAGCCAAATAAAACAAACAATACCAATACGGGCTTACAGTTTAAGGCTCGACATTGTGTTGTCTACGATTAGACAGCTGATAACTCATTCCCGTACGTCGTATGGTCGTAACACTATAATGACCTTTGCTTATTGTCACAAGTGCGCCGCATTCGCGATTGTTGCCCGACGCCTGTTTGCAGGTGAGCCCACTACAGTTGTTATACATATCTAAAAACCGATAAACTTTTAGGCGAAAAAGGCACTATTCCAGGCCCATTTTTGATTTTTTTTGCGATATTAGGTAAAAACAGAAGCTTCTTATCCTAGGAAAAATAAAATGGGAAATCTTTCAAAGGTGGCACACTACCTTTAACTCAGCTTACATTCATGATTCTCAGACAGGATCCTTATGAAGAAGGTTCTATGCTGAACTTCTGTGCTGGCTTAGCAATGTCCATGAAAATGGTGCAGATTTCTAGCCTAGTTGCTATGGGATGGTGCAGATTTGTCACCCTGGCTGTCACAGCTCATTGAATTTGTTGTCATGCTTTTTAATGTTGATATTGACCTGTCTGATCAGGAACTTTTGGGTTGTCACTTGGCAGAACATAGAAGTTAAAGTGGGCTCATATTTGTGATAAGTAGGTATGTGTAATGGACCTGTCTTGAGGTGTGACACAACTGTTGATACAATCTTCAGTATGTGTTCACTGTGTGAGCCAAGGATGTGAAGCTTGAGTCCTTGTCTGTCTGATGCTTACTTAGGCACGAAATATTGGTCCCAGATAATAAAAACTCAATGCATGATGTTGGTACCACCCCTGACGATTTTTCGTGATTGCTTGGAATGTCTCTCCTCTACCGAACCATGGCCCAGTTGGCATAGGTAGATAGCATCGGACTGCTGGAACGTTGTTGTCTAAATCCTACCGTTTATCGGGAATCATGCGATCAAAGTTTTTACAGAGCAACAAGCTTGCTTAGCTCGGTATCCCTTTTCGGTGAGGATCTGACTCCTCTGGTTATGACTAGGCTCGGTCCCTCTTCAATAATGCAAGCTTTGCATGTGCTTATTACCACTAACCCCTGGATCACAGTCTCCTTCTCACTATTTTCTTTGGGAATGGTGTAGCGGCCAGTCAAGCTACATTTAGTCTTGACTTCTTTGCCTCTTCTTATGACAATTTCCTAACTTGCCAAGTATTGTATTTAGCTTTGTTTTTGTTTGCTTTCCTTTTTCTTAGCAGGGAGTGTCGCGACTTGCATCATATTTTTGTCTTGGGAGGTGTAACGTAAGGTTCTGTTGTCGCGTGGGTCAGTGGGTGGACACTCCTGGTCGTCTGATCATGGGCGGCGGCTTAGAAAAAAGTTCAAACGCTAGAGTAGTGCCCGCACAACCGGCCCGCTTGGCGTGAGCTCCGGTTCTGTCAGTCTGAGTTAATATGGCCGCCGATGACCACCGCAGTCCGGGCGCCCTAAAACCCCAAATAATTCTTACCATCATCATCGAATTAATTCGAGCTGCATTTTTTAATCCAGTTGCGAGTGGCACTGGCGATTCTTTGGTACCTACTTCTTCTAATGGACGGCCGGGGAGGTGTCGCCGCCCGCACCGGTCTCTGCACTCTATGGAGTGCCACTATGGAGTGTCATTTTGCTGTGTTTGCTCCCTGTCATCATCCAACTCTCTTCTACCCGCCCAAGAGATAACGAGAGCTGCTGACCGGCAAACAATAACGACAGGGTGCTCTTCCCTGGCCTGCTGCTGACAGGTTTAACGTCAGATCATCTTTGACCGGGCAGAGGCTTTTTGCTGAAAGCGTGAAGTGCTCTTGAAACCACTTCAGCGATTTCCCGTACGATATTACGAAGAGATTCGTGCTACAGCTCTTGTAGATTCTTTGTGTCTTTATGTCCGTGCGGTGCTTGTTCGTATCCGCCACTTGCGTTTTGTTCATTGTTCATGTTCATTATCCCCTTTGGTTTCGTGTTCCGTATCTGTCTCGCTGATGTATTCGTTGTCCTCGTCTACTCCTGTTTGGGTCCGTGTTCTGACCGCCTCACCTCCCTGCTCCCGCAGCCGGTGTCGCACTGTGGAAGCGACTGTCGTTCCTGGTAGCCCTGCCGGCCGTCGGACTGTGCATGGCCAACGCCTACCTGTCGCACCACCATCACGAGCGTCCCGAGTTTGTCGCCTACGAACACCTCCGGCTGAGGACCAAGGTGAGTGCAGGACCGGCTGGGCAATCTACGGGGAGATGAGGCTTCTCCTTCAGCGTGCTTCAAACTCTGGCCATTGGTAAGGGCAGAAAGGGTGACTTTTGAGGGTTATGGAAATGCCGCTATTGAGAGAAGTGGAAGGTATGCTTTCTTGAGTTGATGTCGCTTGGAATTACGGATTAATACTGAATCGTCGCCGTTATGCAGTGTGTGATAGATCCGCGTGCCTGGTGTGTCTTCTGTGTCTTCTCATGTACAACCGTTAGTCTCCATTTGTGTGAAGATCACTGACTGTGGCCTCGGGCCGGCGCTCTGTCCACAGAAGTTCCCGTGGGGAGATGGCAACCACTCTCTGTTCCACAACAGCCACGTGAACGCCCTGCCGGACGGTTACGAGGAGGACCACTAGGTGGCAGGTCGGTCGCCGGCTGTCGCTTCAATGCGTGTGTGTATGTGAACATCGCTAGCAGAACTGAGACGAAGGAAGACTATGGTGTCTGAAGGGGCGCCTATGCTGATCGGGTAACAGGCAAATACATTTACCGATACTAGAGCTGTTTGTCGAGAACGTCTGAGATTTTGAAGAGGACTGCTGGTAAGATGCCGACTGGGAGGGATGCTTGGTCGGGCTGGGCAGTGGTCTGGTTTAGGAACGATCATTAAACTAATAGGTTACCGACTTGGCTATTGATAATCGAAGCAATTATGACTGACACTCGAAATGTTGCGGATCGCGAGCAACTGTACGTCAGTAAGCAATCATTACCAGCAGTACAATGTTTAGCCTCTTTGAAGTTCATGTGTAGATTGTGTCGCTGACACTTCTGATAGCAGTTGGCATGAGGTGCTACAGATGGCGTGGCTGTTCTGTCGTCTGTGTTCTATAATGTCACATGACGCAATGATGGCGAAACTGACGGTTATTGGCACCTGCCCAATGGCGGTGGAATTCGTGCCAGTGACGTCAGAGGGAATCAGTCGGGATATTTTGGAGGGAGTCAGAATGGGAAGGTCAAAGGGGCTTGATGCCCACATCTCCTCTGTGAGAGCTGCCGACATCTGGGGACTGACTGGATTGGGCTGTGGTAACCTAATTTACTGGTAATTACTAATCACGCATTTTGTTCAGACGCTTACAAGTTAGGTACATGTTTTATGCTACCTTCATGAGCTGATCTGTTTTCAAAGTCAATGGAAACAATGCGTCGAATGTGTGAAACCGGTGAAGATAAGCCGTGTGTCGTGATCCCACCCGCTTTGGAATCTGATGAATCTAAACCCAATCGCAGCAAAACCAGCTGGTGAGCCATTTACTGAGATGGTTTGAACTTTTTTCAATCGGTTTAGCAGCTCTATCGCTGTAATCGCTAGACATACTCGTACGGTACGGATGTGTAAAAACACTCCAGACAATCCTGGGTGCGAGGCCTGAATGCGAGCCGATCGCTGGATCTATGAGCTTGAACATGCCAGCGTTGAAAGACACAGCGCAGTTTCCTGTTAAGCCAACCTTTTTCAGTTTGCGCTTTCCCCGAATGGCCCATTCCACGCACTTCGTTCTGTGATCAGAGAAGTCTGCTTATATTCCTGCCGCTAGATGTGGTTAGGTGAAACGCCTCACTAGGTATGCTGTACCGGGATGCTTGGGGCGCTCATGGTCGCACTAAGTGCTAGTTATATTCTCGCCGCTAGATGGCTGTAGTACAAACGCCTGGCTGGGTATGCTGTGCTGGAGCACACAGACCGCGCGGTGCTCGCGGCAACGGTCACGGTCCACAGGCTGAACGTTGGACGCTTGAGCCTCGCGGCTACGCGCCCTTACCCAACAACAATAACAACATCCACAGGCTCACCCTACCAGCTGTGTGTTATGCAGTGTGGCGGTGTGCCTTTGGGGTCATTTCTGTGAAAATTTCTAGTGGGGTTGATTTTTTGTCCCAATCAGCCAGGTGTCTGTGAGGTTAACCCGACGATGCTAAGGGCATGGACAAGGAATATTGGACGCTTCCGGGGGCGTGAATCTACAGCGCGGATAAAGGATTGGGGAGGCATACACAGCATTTTCTCCAGCAACATTTCCGACTCGTAATGAGTTTTACCTGTTGCCAACATAATAAATTAATGCTAACGAGCTAAAAAGGTGTCGGATATTGCTTCACTAAGTGACGAAATGAGACGGAGGCTACGGCCTACAAACAGCTTTATTAAAGGGACACTCCCACCTTAACATTAGTTTTGAGTTGAGATAGCCAAATTGGTGGCCATGGCCTGCAAATCCCGGTTTGGGCACTCACAACATCGGAAAATGCTTTAATTCGAAGATATGGAATTTCAAACTTGCAGTTTTCGGATTCTAAGGGGCTAATGCATTGGAATGCCCCCTTAGAATTTGTGACGTCAGCGGAGATCTAACGATTTTTAAATCTTAGACTAAAACCATCGTTAACACGTGGTGGTATACGCTGCTTTGCGCGCAACGTCTGCCGCACTTTAAGGCTGCCAAATTATTGCTTCCAAATAAAGTCGCTAGTAACAGGGGAGATCCCAAAAAGTAAACAAAAGTAAAAGCCTAATATCTTGAAAACCAGTGAATATTTTTCGGTGAAATTTGGTAGATATTCGTTTTCGCTCTTTCTGAACCAAGGGACATCACTTTCATGCCAATTCATTAACTTTTTTGAAGGTGGGAGGGTCCCTTTAACGCATGTCTTGAAACACCGGTTGCCGCATGTGACAAGGGGTCTTCTTTGCATCGGATAGAGTGATTAGGTGATTAAGCCGCGATCAATGACAACGTTGCGACAACAGTATTCAATATCTTAATAGAAGTCGCCGCCGGCACGGTCTACTGAGTGCGTGCAGGCCGTCTGTGTGACGTCACAGAGTCTGTGGACTCTCCCCTCTACCTCTCTCCCTCCACTGCCTCTCTCTACAACGGCGGTAGATACTCAAACTGACCAGCTGGACAGTAGACACTAGACACCGTCACCGACCCTCGCACCTTACACCCTCACCCCATGTCCGACAGCGCAACGGGCAAATATAGGCCTCACGGGAACACCACGACCATGCCACTCGTGAAGCTTTTATTTCTGTACACATCGAGCCCACCTGGGTGGCAAAGAACAGCTGCAATTAATATATCGACCGCGGCCGAGTCGCCTGACACGAAAGCGGTGTGATCGTGATGCGCCCGGGGCCAGCGGTGCATTGTTAACCACTTAAAGTTTGCGCTGAGGGCCGCGTTTCTTGTAAATCGTGTCCTCGTGTAGGGGTGCGACGTCATCCAAATGCCAATGCAACTATGAAAACATTTCGATTCCTCTGACGGCCTGACAGAAAGTATTTATATTTTATAACGGTGTGGACCACTGTACAGTGTACATACATATATAAATGCACTTGGGCCTTATCCACTAACGCTAAACTTAAAGGGACTATCCCACCTTTATATTAGGTTTGAGTTGAGATAGCCAAGTTTGCGGCGAGGTCCAGAAACCACTATCTATCTTGGTTGCAACCCCCGCGGCCTCGTGGTGTTGAAGAAATTCGTTCCCTTCATTTGAAAATGAGCCTTGCGCAAGGCCCAATCTCTTAACCATTAACGGTAATCTGATGACGTCATTTGCCTTTTGAACGCCTGTTCAAGTGAAGTATCACTTGATTTACGAATAAGCCAATCAGAGACACTTTTGTTATTGCATGAGCCGAGTCATATTTGAGAGCAAATACCTATATTTGCTGCCAAATTTCCCCCACACTGACATGAAATAAATCCTTCATTACGTCACAGATCCGATCTAAATGACGTCACGATGAAATATAAAAGTCGCAATATCTCAAAAAGTATACGATGAAAACGCGTAAAAACTTGCAGAATTCGTCACAATATCATGAGTAACATTTCCGAATCCTAAACGGGACTTTTTTGAAGGTGGGATAGTCCCTTTAAAGGGACCCTCCCACCTTAACATTAGATTTGAGTTGAGATAGCCAAAATGGGGTCCCTGGCTCACAATTACCGGTTTCGGCACTCACAACATCGAGAAATGCCTTAAATCGGAAATATTGAATTTCAAAATTGCAGCATTTTGATTCAGAGGGGCTAATGCTTAGGAATACCCCTCTGAATGTGTGACGTCAGCGCAAATATCTAACGATTTTTAAATGTTTGACTAAAACGTTTTGTAGCACGCGGTGGTATATGCTATTTGCGCGCAACATCTGCCGCAAACGCCGCACTTCTAAAATAAAGTCGCTAGTAACAGTGGAGATCCCAAAAAAGTAAACAAAAGTAAAAGTCTAATATATTGAAAACCGGTGAATATTTTTCGGTGAAATTTGGTAGATATTCGTTTTCGCTCTTTCTGAACCGAGCGACATCACTTTCATGCCAATTCATAAACTTTTTTGAAGGTGGGAGGGTCCCTTTAAGTGAGTGCATATTACTTTTGTCTTGCATAGACAACTTTTACCACACCATAGCTACAGATAGATGACTGTCAGTGTTCAGTGTCCATGTTCTATGAGATGATCCTGTGGCAATGAATAAATATCGGTGACATTAGATGCCTAGACAATTCCCGGCGCCAGTTTTCGTCCTTCCCGCTGGGTGGCTGCTGAGCACTCGCCGGCTCGCGGGCTCGTGCGGTGGGGCTCTGCGGTGGGTCGGTGGAGGGACAGGTGGTCGGGTCGTCGCACCTCACACCACAGCTGGTGTCACTGAACCGGGCGGAAGGGAGGGTCGCGGGGCGGGAGCGTCGCCGGACCGTGGATAGGACAGCGCTGGGTGGTAGATAAGGAGAATGCTGCAGAGCTTGGGCCAGGGCCTCGTCTAACATGTTAACTGGGGGGGGCAATTGCCTCCCCAGTCGAGCGGATTGCCCCCCCAGTGGCCAACGTTTGCCCCCCCCCCCCAGTCAAAACGTGAACTTCTCACAAAATTACCTTCTCTGCAATGCGTTTTTGTTAGGAGTCTTATACGGATTTAACGAGAAACGTTAAATTATTTGTTCAAAAACTGTTCATGCTCCATAACTACGGGAAAAGCCAGAGTTTTGTGATTACGAGCGAGCGAGCGCAGCGAGCGAAGTGAGTCTTTTCAATATAACGGAAAAATCTCAGTATGAGCGGCCCGGCCCGGCCCGGCCCGGCCCGGCCCGGCCCGGCCCGGCCCGGCCCGGCCTGTAACGCTTTTGAGAGGCTTATATCTCAGCAACCGCTGGACCGATTGGGCTGCGGTCTTTTTTGTTGGGTAGCCCCATCCCTTCTACCCCGTAATTGACTACTTTTGATACATCTCAGTGACCGTCGTGGCACGTGCCACGTGAAAAGTCAAGGGTGTTCAAGCTGTTTTGCAAAAGTAGTGATTTTGAGAGGCTCATATCTCAGCAGCCGCTTGGGCGATTGACTTGCGGTAATTTTTGTAGGGTAGCAGCATCCCTTCTACCCAAAATAGGATACTCTCGATGTATGTGGGTCACCCCCAGTGCACGTGCAAAATACAACAATAAGAGGTGCCAAATTTGTTCCCATTTCAGTAACTCGGTAA